CCCCAAAACCCCAAAACCCCAAAACCCCAAAACCCCAAAACCCCAATTTCTGAATTCATAATTGATTTAAATTTTTCATTGTTTGAATTACTTGTATGGGTCCATGATAATGAAGTTCAGGAATTCGTTAAACTCAATGGCACCATTGTTGTCTTGATCGATTCTTTTCATTATTCCGTACAAGTATCTTCTCTCTACTGAAATTTTAAGCTTGGCAGTCATGCCAGCAAGCTCATCAATAGTGATATTTCCTGATTTGTTAGTATCAAAGTAATCAAAGATCTTTCTGAGGACATACTCGTCTGAAGAGTCGTTTGACATTGAAAGAAGTCTTTCTCTTATTAATTTAACGATTTCTCTAACATAGTCTTGATTGGCTTCTGAATCCTCGTCTTCCATGATACCCCAGACGCTTTCCATCATTTTTACGAAATACTCGTCAGTGGGAAGGCTGGTGGAGAGATCAGTGTAGTAATCGTTCCATTCTTGTCTGGAAATGACTCCATCATTGTTTCCTCTAGCTCCATCGAAGGAATCAAGAAATTCTTCGATAACTTCTTCCTTAGTCTTGGTGCCTTCTTTAAAGTCTTTATGGAAGCTTGGGTCATACAGGTGTTTGACATCTTCAACTGTGATTTGGCCAGAGCCATCTTGGTCCATGAGAGCAAATGCTTTATCGACTATTTTCTGCCTTCTTTCAGAGAGTTCGTCTCTAAAGTATTAGTATTTACGAGTACCTGAGACCTCTGAGGAATTCTTCATATCCAATATTTCCATCACCGTCAATATCGTAGAACTTCATGAGGGCTTGGAGGTCAGTATATTTTGGGAATAATCTAGAACAAATTTAGACATTTCTATCAACAAATATCAAACTAAATTTTGGATAAATAAAAGTTTGATAAGAAATAATACTCAAGGCGAAAGGAGGAATGTTTCTTACCCACATTCAGCAAGGGCTTCTTCAAATTCAGAAATATCAAGCTTCCTGTTTCCGTTGTCATCGAATCTTCTAAATAAAACTCCTAAGCTTTTAATTCCGATTCCTCCTTTTGATTTCAGTGCCATTTTGAATTCATTATTAATCCGGGCAACATTAATATCAAGGCCAACACCGTAGAGTGACATGTCTATTTTATTTTTATAAAAATACTTAATTTCAAAATAAAACAACCAAAATGGGGTTTTGGGGTTTTGGGGTTTTGGGGTTTTGGGGTTTTGGGGTTTTGGGG